AAGAAAGAAAAATGTAAAAGTCATTTTGTCTGTCTATGGCCCGACAAAGAGGATATTACGTAGGATAGACCATGGCTGTGTAAGCCTACTATGAAGATAAGAAAAAGAAATTGCTACAGCGCCCTCTCTTCATGTCCTCCTCCTTTTCACGTATTTTTGGGTAACTAAATTATCCTATTAAATATTGAAATATCATTATCAAGCATGTTAGGTACATTTACGTGAAAAAGAGGACAGTAAAAAACAAACATACTCACAAATGAACACTAATAAAAAATCTTTATTGCAGTTGTGTTGATCTTCACATTTACTGATCGGCTCGCAGTTTAACTCTTACTGGTTGTTATGGTAGCGAGGAATCTTTTCTAAAATTTCTGCAAGAAATTCTGCTTTACCGCCGAAAATTCTGACAAAATGTTCAAAGCACGGTATCCAACGCCGCACGCATCACCGACTATTTCAAACAACACCCTTCGCGAAGGGCTCGCCTCTCCCCAGAGGTGGAAAAGACACAGGGCCAAACTGATATAAGTTTCTAGACGCTGACGTATGCAATTTTACCTGAGTAAAATGATTAATACATGTTCACGGCCTTTCGAAATTCATCAACGATGTCACACTCATTGCAAAACACATGCGCAAAAATATATAAAACAAACTATCTGAATAGATCCATCTAAAAATATATTTTTACAAATTGAGGAAGGGTGAAATTCATGATTACCTGATTCACTAAATGAATATCCCTGCTACCCAAAACGTAGATATCTCTTGTATAAATGATCACTGTACAGGGTTTTGATTGGGGAACTCTTAGAACTGCTAATAGTAATAACGAATTGTTGATTGGAAACTTTATTCGTGAAAGATTTCAGGAAGTCAAAGTTCCAACTTCGATCCCTTGAACCAACTAAGGTGCTCATTGTGAAATATTGAGACATCTAAGGTGGAGCAAAGTTGGTGTTTTACCAGATTCCATATCTAGAGATATTTACAGAAACAAAATACGGTACAAACTGAAATAGGTAGCACATCACTCTGCCTCCTTCCTTCACTCAAGTGCAGGCATTCTGTAATCTAGCTTTGAAATATTGAGACATCTAAGGTGGAGCAAAGATGGTGTTTTACCAGATGCATATCTAGAGATATTTACAGAAACAAAATACGGTACAAACTGAAATAGGTAGCACATCACTCTGCCTCCTTCCTTCACTCAAGTGCAGGCATTCTGTAATCTAGCTTTGAAACCAACCTTAGCAACTAGGAGGAAAGTGATTTCATTAACGTCTTACAGAACATTCAATCACCATTTTGTGCGTGTGTGTGGGGGGTGCATAATGAAACACTGTACCATCTCTTCAATGCATATTAATATTTCTCTTGGGCATTTCCTGACTTGGAGTGACAATATGTATCATCCATATGAATATTTGTCTTATCTTGCTGTCTGTTTCGTGGATTAGCAGGTTGTTAGTCCGTCAAGCGACATAGCAGTCTGTTCTTTGCGTTAACTCGTGGAATTAGTAGATAAACAAGTACATCGTTATATAATAAACTACCATTAATCAGCAAACAATTATTATGTCAGTTAAATACTCACAAGTACTTAGAATCAGTCAGGAAAAAATACGTTTCAATACTTGTAATACAACTTTATAGAATGTGACGAAGGAAAACGACGTCACGAAGAAGGCACTCTCTGTAGAAACGTTGGATAAATGTTCCCCGTCAAACATTCTGGGTGTCCTTGCTTTGTAGAAAAGTCTAAGCTGACGAAGTTGAAATAAACAGATTACTAAACATACACACATACATATATACGTGTTTGTTGTTTGTGGATATTATTACTTGGATAGAAAGAAAATAAAGGTATATATTATATGTATAAGTTTCAGGTATTTTAATACAGAGCTACTCAGAGCTGGTAAGACACATTAACGCTCAGACTACCTGGAGGGGGGGGGGTCCAAATTCATCCCATCCACCCATCTCACAGGCCTCAGATCAAACATAGGTGTATGACCCAGGTTCGAATATGCTATCAGTTTCACTCAAAGTGTGCGTTCTACCGAATGAGCCCAAGTATTATGCTATTAGTAACTGTGAGTAACGCATTTTGTTGTAAAACTAAAAAAACACCACACATTTATAATTATACGGAGCTCAATTAATAGAAAGATAGACAAAGAAAGACACGTATTATGCAAATATAAACAGTGCGCAACAGTACGATTATTAAGGCTTTCCTCTCCTACTGGTTTTTTTCAAGAGTCCAAGCGAATTCCTTCCAAATAAAACTACTGACGTCACTACGTGTGCGCTTCTCTCTCTCTCTCTCGCTCTCAACAATTCAAACACACACGTTTCGTTTCTCGCGAGGCAACGAAGCTGAGAAGAGGATTTTTTTTACCTTATTAAAGCATTTGATTACATCTTTATTTTCTATTTATTTATTTCACCTTCAGGCAGATGGCGTGCAAAAACACATAAAAAACACTATTTTTTTTTATATGCAAATATATTAATAAGTGTGTCTGTTTAGGGGTGGTTTTCTTTTCCACAGTTAATTATCCGCCTGAAATATGGAATCATGATTTTTCTTTCTAAACACGTAATGAAATTTAAACTTGGGTGAATTAGAAGCTTCATATAAGAAGAAAACGAGTAAACAAATGAGTTAGTAAGATGAAGAAAAAATTAAAATAATGAAGTAATTGAGGTCAAAGGACAGACAGACAGAAAGTAAATTAAATAATTAGAGAAACAGATGAATGATATTAAGAACCTTCATAACTAAAGTCAGTTTATCCGCTCTAAGAACCTTCATAACTAAAGTCAGTTTATCCACTCTAAGAACCTTCATAACTAAAGTCAGTTTATCCGCTCTAAGAACCTTCATAACTAAAGTCAGTTTATCCGCTCTAAGAACCTTCATAACTAAAGTCAGTTTATCCGCTCTAAGAACCTTCATAACTAAAGTCAGTTTATCCGCCCTTCATAACTAAAGTCAGTTTATCCGCTCTGAGAACCTTCATAACTCTGAGTGGATAATCTGACTTTAGTTATGAAGGTTCTTAGAGTGGATAAACTGACTTTAGTTATGAAGGTTCTTAGAGTGGATAATCTGACTTTAGTTATGAAGGTTCTTAGAGTGGATAAACTGACTTTAGTTATGAAGGTTCTTAGAGCGGATAATCTGACTTTAGTTATGAAGGTTCTTAGAGTGGATAAACTGACTTTAGTTATGAAGGTTCTTAGAGCGGATAAGTAGACCTCAACTAGCAGTACAATATTTGTCGTACCATACTCGCTAGTTGTACAATATTTGTCGTACACCATACTCGCTAGCCTTATAATAATTGTCGTACACCATACTCGCTAGCAGTACAATGTTTGTCGTACACCATACTCTCTAGAGTACAATAACTGTCATATACCATACTCGCTAGCAGTACAATATTTATCGTACACCATACTCGCTAGTTGTACAATAATTGTCGTACATCATACTCGCTAGTTGTACAATAAT